AAGTTTGTCTCATGGTGGAACAGTTTTAAGAACTACATGTTCCTATGCAGAAGTCTTTTATTGTGGGATAAATTCATACTAATCTCAGAAAGTACATAAACTCAGGTAAAAAATAAGGCATGTCTTACCCAATGTACACAACAACCGTCTTGATTAAGCAAATATTGTCCTTTGTGAATGCATTCGTACAGGCTATAATGAGGAGTGTGTGAAGAGCACTCCAGCAAATTACTTCTGGTACCGTGAGACCCTGAACATCACACCTGACATCGAGACCAGCGGCTCCCTGCAATGGTGGCTGGTCATCTGTCTGGCCAGCGCCTGGTGTGTGGTCTACATCTGCTTTATCAGAGGCATCCAGTCCATTGGAAAGGTCTGTTTTCCTACTGAAATAAAAATAACTGAAAAATTACGTCATATTTTACAATGAACCGCTGTACCATACATCCTTAATATCAATTCTGAAAATTACAGTAAGATGAAGAACATTTAAAAAAGGCTGTGTTGTATGTTTGTATGTTTCAGGCTGTGTATGTGACAACCACATTCCCTTACCTGGTGCTGACTATTTTCCTGATCCGGGCTCTCACTCTGCCGGGATCTACTGATGGACTGGTGTACCTCTTCACTCCTAATGTGAGTGTGTTGCTACTAAAGGTGATGTCAAGAGTACCCGACGGACACAATGAACTGATGTGTTGACTGTCTGCAGTGGGAGATCCTGAAGAACCCTCAGGTGTGGCTGGACGCTGCCACTCAGATCTTTTTTTCCCTCTCCGTGGCCTTTGGAAGTTTCATAGCTTTCTCGAGCTATAATGCAGAGCGGTAAGGACTGATACACTTGAGCTCCCTCAGTAGTATTGGGATAATTTGTGTGAATTGTTTCCTCTTTTGTGTCCATTAGGAACAACTGTGAAAGGGATGCTGTTCTAGTAGGAACAATAAACAGCGCCACGTCTCTCTACGCCTCCATTTCCATCTTCTCCATCTTGGGATTTAAAGCTAACTCCGCCTACAACTCCTGTAACGAGGAGTACGTACGCACAAATATTCAATGTTATTGTTATTCTGCTTTCACATGGAATAATGCAGATGGACAACCGGAGAAACATTTTAGTGGAATACAGCAGGACAGTAAATTAAGTTGAGTCCGGTAGAAAATACCGGCAATGGTAACGGTAGAAGATGTTATGAACTAGCCTACGAAGCTTCTTCACACAAGGGAGAAAACATGGCCGATCTGGACAACGATGGAGCCAATTCTTTTATCTGTAGTAGAAATAATTTCAATTTTTCAAACATATTTTTGATCCCTTTTGAGAAAGGGAGGGAAAATAGACTTGAAAAGGGGGATTGACTGAAAGCAACTCTACCAGGAGTGCTTCTTTGGCACCATGGCGAGAGTTTAAATTCTTACCTACTGTACATATTACAAGAAGCTGCATAACAAGAGCAGTTAAACAAAAAGTAGACACAAACATGCATATGACGTACGACCATAAGATTTAGTTTTCCTCTTCAATCCAGAATGTGTTGTCCTTCGACCAGATACCCTGTGAATGCAGCATAATGAATGTTTCATGCTCCTTCTGGTCAGCACGGGGGGTGGCAGATGGCAAAATTGTGCAATTGCGGGAAGGGCAATTGTGCGCCAAGGGTTTGAGTATCGGGCAAATACACCTTTGAGATTATGTAACAGCCAGCAGGGTTTGCAGAAATATTCGTGGGGACCAAGCGCGAAGTCCGTAGTGAGCTGACCACAAGAAGCATGAAACTATTTTAAAGCTTATTCTTTTCCTGCCAATACCGTTGAGGTAGATTTTCTTTTGGAATCCCATTTGCAGAAACATCTTGATTCTGACCAACCACTTTGAGTTTTCTGACCAGAACATAACAGTGGAGAACTATGATCACTGGTTTAAGTATCTAAATCGTTCATATCCAGGTGAGGTGGCCGGTTTGGACCTGGAGCACTGTGACTTGCAAACATTTCTTGACCAGGTACTGTAACTGTGTAAACACATTGGATCTTGTAAACTGCATTCAAATTTTCCATGAAGTGCCAGTCAAAAATGTACAGTCCTCGTTTCTTGACTCTCTTTCATCCTTCTCCTCCAGAGCGCATCGGGTACCGGCCTGGCTTTTATCGTGATCAGCGAAGCAGTGATAGAAATGCCAGGCTCACAGATATGGGCCATATTGTTCTTCACCATGCTCTTCAGCTTGGGTCTGTCGTCCATGTTTGGCAACTTAGAAGCAGTCCTCACACCCATCAAGGACCTCAACCTATTTCCCAAGTGGATCCCTCATGAACTCGTAACAGGCAAGTTTTAAGTGGAAATGATTGATGTTGCCGCTGTTGAAAAGAACACTTGATGGCTTTCTGTTTTCCTGAGTCTAGCAACTACCAACAACAACACAATGCGTTCTGTTTCCCACACTTTGGTTTTTCCATAGTCTGCCATTTACTATATTCATCATCTTTGCTAATTGGGTATAGCAACCGGAGAAGACAAAGGCTATCCTCTCAGTATTTTGGTTGTGCAATGGTTGAGGTACTTCCTTTGTGAAGTAAATTGAGCCTACATGTTCCTGAAAGACCATACACGAGTGGATTATAGTTGATGTCATCATTATATAGCCATTTCATTGTGTAAGCAACAGTTAGCCCACACTGTAAAGTTAAAGGTGACCTATCATGCAAAATGCAATTTTGTACGTTTTTTATACATGAATATGTGTCCCCAGTGTTCCAGGGAACTCACCAAGTGTCAGAAAACACAACCCTCTCTATTTTCCTCCATACCCAAATCTCTTAAAAAGTGGGTGCAACAGATCTGATACAGACTGATCCAGATTTGAACACTTCTATGACGTCACAGAAGTGGCGCTACGGCTATTGGGCCAACTCCACCAATCAGGAGGAGACAGCCACGGACATTGCCGTTGGAAAGCGCTGGAGACGCTGTAGTACATATGCCAGGCCTGTAGATGGTGCTGTTCTCACAGAATCAGCCCATGCAAAGACAGTGTTAAATTGAGCGAAATGAGGAATGGCTAAAATGCATGATCTGTTTGGTATTTTGAAAAATAAAAATTATAAATATGCCTTATATAGGTATGGTCCTACACTATATTATTCAAATATAGCATGATAGGTCCACTTTAAGGTGTTCAAAAGATAAAGAAATACATGTTAACCCTATTAATTCCCTCACTGAAAACACATTTTTCTCTAACATTTTTTAGCAGTCATCTGTTTGATATCCTTCTCGACGGCTCTCATATTCACCCTGGGTTCGGGGAACTACTGGTTTGAGATCTTTAACGGCTACGTGGGCTCCCTACCTCTCCTCATCGTTGCACTCTTTGAGATTATTGGAGTCATTTATGTCTATGGAATGAATAGGTAACTTTTTCTCCTCTTCTTTTAAATTCTGTAGAAATGTACGAGATTTTTAAACAATTTTGATCTCATTGTGTGAAACCTCTTCTCCTGTCCCGGTGTCCTCCAACAGGTTCAGTGAAGACATCTATTTTATGACTGGGAAGAAGCCCAACATCTTCTGGAAGGCCTGCTGGATGGTGATCAGTCCGTTAATGCTACTGGTGGTGTTGGTTGCATACGTTGTCGTTCAGGCACAGAAACGACCCTCTTATCTCGCTTGGAACCCAGACTATGTAAGAAAACCGAGGGTACTCACATGGAGATGTTTCGGGTTTAGAGATCCGATTCAAGGCTTGAAATATATTTGGAAGATATACTGCAATTGAGTGAAAAAATATGTAAAAAATATGCAACTGAGTATTTAACTCTGCTATAATCCACATAATTGGTCATTGTGGTTGTTACAGCTTCTTGAGCATTCCTTGCGCATCCAAAAATATTAAGGTTAAAATGTATCGTTTTTGGAATTTGTAGCTTCATACAAGCACACAACGATGTAACAATTTCCCATTTGACACTTCTTTGTATTTTTCTTCCTCAGGAACTATTCCCAAAAACGGAATCGAAGCAATATCCAGACTGGGTGTTTGTCATAATCATCCTTCTCAGTCTACTACCTGTGATTTCTATCCCACTGGTGGCTCTCTACAAACTGATCTCCTGCAGAATGAAAAAGACCTCTGCTCGTGTTCAACATAGTCCCTAATGCAATGGGGGGCTTTCGAGGTTGAAACACATGAACAGAATAACTTTTAAAAAATGACATAATCCTGATCATGTCCCTGCTTCTGTGGAATTTACATCCTAATTGGCCAGAAAGCTGACATAAAATCAATTATGCCGAATTGAAATATAGACATTTCTTTGATTTGTGACGTTAACATTTATCAGGACCTGACAACCTGACAAATCACATTTGCTTCCTTGATCATATAACTGGATTTATTTAACAGTGAAAGTCTTTCCTTTGTACATTGTTGTGCAGTGAACATGATGTAAATAACAAACAATTTAATACATCATATTGAAATATACAGCCATGTCAAAAAGTAATTACATAAGATATATATATAATATATACAGTATGTGAGTGTCGACAATATTTCTCTGAACTTATTTAAATAGAAATGATCGCCGTCAGTGACGTCATGTCTGTCTTGTGGAAAACTACCACAAAAGTGTAAATGAAAGTCCACAGAGAGAAACAGCTGTGGGACGAGACGGGGTCTAGTAAAGTAGCTGGATGATTTTCAACTATCCATCTGTATCTGTGTTAGCTGTTTTATAGGGTGTGTATCACTTTGCTGTGTTATCCCTCTAAAGCCTTGTGAAAAGGATAAATTACATTTTTATTTTGGCACACTGAAGTTCAGATAAATCACTAATTTCAACCCTGAGAATGAGACAAGAAATATAAAGATCTGTAATTCTTTGTTGACACATCATCAAAGCACTTAAAGGTAGACAAAACTCACTGTATCAGTATGTAGTCCAGCTTCTCTAGAATGTTTGTCTATACCTTTGAGCTGCTGTTTCAGGGATTTGATGGGAGCTAAATTCGGGGCTGGCTTGTAGTCTAGCACTGGATGGCAAAGAAGTCGTCAGGGGTCCTGGGGTTAGTGGCCTGTCGGACCCTGGCCAGCCTCAGAACCCCCAGACGCTTCTCTAGACTGCGCTTCCCTGTCAAGAAAGCAGAGGACATTTCTTTTTTTGCTCGTCAATGGTGAAATGTAAAATTCAAGCATCTGTAGAATAGGGTTAAAAGGTAGCAATTAACAACTTCTGTACATGTACACCTACATTTGTTGGGTTTCGTTAATCTCTCACAAAGCCAGATTAAAATGGATTGGCTTTATAGGCAAGTTGTCATGTTGATGTTTACATATTGTTCATATTGAGACCAATGGCTCTACTTTCCTGCAGGTAAGTAACTTTCTTGCTCTTAACCAACATGCTCAGTGAAGCTTATTATTAAGTAGCGCCTCTCATTGCATTAGCCACAAAATGTTGATAGCTTTAGTTGGCGTCAGTGAGTGATACAAAATAGGATTAGCCTCATCGGTACCAGATCTGAGAACCGCCTAGCATTAAGATAGTCGTTGAAGGTTTGTCCTTACAGCAACCACAGTGGAGGAGGAAAAGAATGAAGCAGACCTGGGGCCACACTGGGTAGAAGAAAGCCTCTACTCCCAGAGGAGCTTCCCATCTTGTAGTGCCATAGGATAGTGTTACATCAATCTAGGACCTAGTTATAGTAACTAGGTATGTTATTAAATTACAGTTTTCAGAGCCAAGAGGCTAATCGTCTCTTTGCTAATTATTCATTGAGCTGACAAAGACGATGTTTAGATTATAACAGCTGAGGTTCGTGTTTTAGGTAATGTAAATAAATGTATGTGCGTTCATGTGCAGACGTACATGGTTTTGTTATTTGGATAATTCATATCCTGCAAGACTCCTAAAGACGTCATGAGATGATGACCTTTCTACATCTGGAACATGTCCAAGTTTAGGAGACCTGAAAATGTGTGTGCGTTAAAACATGGTTAGGGAACATGTTCGTGTGTCATTTAGAAAACCTATATTTGCCCCTGTGTTTCTTGTATTCGTGGGGCATTTCCACGATTGTCTGCTGTGGCAGGTGATGTACTCTAATATTATCATTATTGCTGCGGAACTGAATAATAATGAATCTCAACCATGTCTGTGTTTGTGTTTTATTGATCTCCCTCTGTGTTAACATTTAAGGTTGGTAAGCCATAAATTGCACTAACAATAGTTCCTGTGTGATATAGTTGTGTATGTGTGGATGTTTTCGAAGGGTACATACGTTTGTGCAGGTGTGGGAGCAGAGCCCTGTAGAGAGGACGGTGCTGTGACAGTACATGCAAGAAGGAAAGACAGAACAGCAGCTCCACTGCTTCGTACTGCAAAATGCCAGTCTGGGCCGTATTGCCTAAAATCAGTCCTGGAGAAAGGGAAAGAGATAAGTGAATGTATTCTTTTTTATATATAATACTGATATTTTTCCAGATTAATAAAGGGAAATGCCTTTGTTGCTGAGCCTGATGAGCTGATTGCTGTATTCGGCCATATCAAATATCATCCTCAGGAAGTACAAAGGGTTCTTAGCAACAGTCTGGTCGAAGGGCAAACTCTGGGCACACACATGGAACCTGAAGAGGAAAACAAACAAAATCAGAAAAAGGCAAAACCAACACTTTTGAACAATGTACACGAGGAAAAGGCGGTTCAGGTTGTTTTCAGTGAACTTTACCTGCATGCATGAAGCAGCACCAGCTTGTAGATGTTCTTGTAGACTGCCTCAAGAGAATTGTTCTAAAAAAGGACAAAAGCAAAGTTGCAGGAACAATAATAAAACTGATAGAAAAACAGAACCTATATGTGGGACTTTTACTTTATTAATGCATCTCAGTCAAGTGCAAAAACTTTTATGAAAATCAAAATGCATTAACTTTTTTTTTTATTTCTTTATGATACATAAGGCAATTTGTTATACTTTCTGTTTCCTTTGGTTTCTACTTCCGAAGTTGACAGCCCCATAACTGTGATACAGCAGATGTCAGTTGGTCTTGCAGCGTAATTTACGGACAGTAGTGTCAACAGCCTTTTTGAGGGGTGTAACTCCTTTGTAGAGAACTTTCGAATAAAAGTAGTTTTCATCAAAGCTGGCACCATTATTTTTCTGACCTTCAGGTCCAGGAACAAGGCATGGCTCCTGAGTCTGAGGACAGCCATCAGTTTCCTCCTCATTTGCTGTCCAGCTGAGTGGAAGGAGCCCAACGTGAGGCTGTAGCGCAAAGACAGGCCTGCATAGCTGTGGGAGATGGAAAGAAAGAAAAAAACAAACATTGAAAAAGGACATACTGCAAAGACTACAGCCTTGCCATGAACGATTATTGCACGTTAACATTTGTATTGTGCTCTATGCAAGACTGGGAACTGTAATAATATGTATGAGTACGTTCAAGGTACATGAGAAAATGGTTTCACTAAGCTTACAAAAATGAGGCAAAAAGCCTCACAACAACAAGCACACTTGAGGCATTACACCTGAAGTATAATTATTCTGACGAGATGCTTCACCTTGAGTAGTCTTTGTAGACGTCCAGTGAGTGTGTGTCCAGCAACAGTCCACACCAGGGGAAGAGGCAGTGAGGGGTCAGCACTCGGATGCCGGGACATGAGCCCATGCTCCCTGGCACCTGAAAGTTAACCCCCACCTTCTGCGGGTTGACCACCAGACCGTACTGTGGTACTCCGGCCAGCAAGATACTACACACAATGCACAAGTGTCATTAGCAACCTTTAAACCTCTTATCAAAATAAAAAGGGAGCAAAAGAGAAACAAAATACTTGTGATAAAAAGATAAATGTTGGGTAAAAGCCCTTCTGAAATAACAGTGATGCGTGTAAGGAAAACTAGTATCACCAACATACTTGAGAAAGCTTTGTGCTTTGTTTAAGTATGGGGTGATCAGAAGGAAGTCATCCACCAGTCTCATCAAACATCTGCAGGACACAGAGAGGAAGATAACACATACAGTAAATACTACAAAAGTAACAATACCGAAAGACTGCCCTCTGTTGCTACAGATGTGTTATTACATGGTTATTACATCTACAGTACAGCATGACATAAATATATAACCGTCTGCTGTACCCTTTCTTTTCAGTAATGCCTTCAAACAGGACATTCTCCATGTGACCGTAGCAGAGACAGCACAGCAGGCTGGATACGACAGAGCCCTGAGGAATCCCTCGGCACTGACGGTATGTTCTGAAACACAGGGGGACAAGCTGATTGTATTTGAAACGAGGCAAAATAAATGTCAATGAGAGTATTCATTTTATATAAAACTCAAACACATCCTGGGTTCTTTGCATGGCATCACATTCACAAATAAGAAGCAGCTTCCACATTGGTCTATTTCATCTTGATGCTTACTTCTTTCCAAACTGAACAACACTTCCCATTAGCATTTGGGTGAAGAACTGCAACGCGTCTCTGCCGTGAAGATCAGCGCAGAAATGCTAAAAGAAAAAAAGAAAAGATTTAAAAGAAGTGACAAAAGTGCTGATCTATAGAAATATCTCAGGATGTCTCACCTGCTCTACCAGTATGGCGTGATGGACTTTTTTTTTTTTCTGAAGTGACGTCACAAACCCTTTCATGTTGGTGGATCCCATGCTATCCTCCAGTAAATCTGCCTGTATTAACAAACATGAGAAACAGTTCAACGGTTGCACACACAAGAATACCGTGTGTGTGTGTGTGTGTGTGTGTGTGTGTGTGTGTGTGTGTGTGTGTGTGTGTGTGTGTGTGTGAGAGACATACCTGTCTAACAAAGGACTTTTTCAGGCCCTCACGGCCATCTGCCCAGATCTTGGCATAGCGGCGGACGGTGAAGAGTTCGTCCTGCACAGGGGACAGCGCCTGACCAATCACTTCACTCAGTTTGTCATGGGGCAGACTCTCATAGGCTCCACTCACATCCACCTACAATGCAGGGATGAAGAAAAATAGCATTTAACAAAGGCACAATGAATAGGTTTGTTGGATGCTTTTTATAAAAACAACAAACAAATAAAATGGGGTCTGATTTACAAGGCCTGATTGTATGGAAGATGGCTGGACTCACACAGTATTCAAGCAATATGACAAATGTATTAAAGGTCACATGTCATGCTTTTCCGGTTATTACCCGTCCCCTTGTGTGTTATGAAGGTTTTTCTGCATGTAAACGGTCTGCAGAGTCAAAACCCTCAAAGTACACCCTGTAGCGAGTAAAACTCTAAAACAGAAAATACCTCCCCAAAACGCCTCGTTGGTGAAACGTCATCATGACGTCATCATCCATTTGATTCTTCCGGGTACGTGCTTACGAAAGCACGTACCCGGAACTAAATGGGCCAATCCGTGGAGCCGTTACGTTACGTCCGTGGAGCCGTTACGTTAAGCCCCCGCTGATTGGTCCAAATTGACCAATCCACACACACACTCAGTGCAGGCAGCCCTGCTGATTTCTGCTCCGTGCTGCAGGCTGAGAAGAGACAGTTGGGATCGCGGCGAAATTCTCTCTGCAGACCCATTCTCACAGCGTTTATCAACCGATAAACCTTTTTCTTACTCAATATCAAGCCACACTTATCGTTTTTATTTCGGCTGTGACTTTGTGTGTTCAGGTTGAGTTTGGCTGTGTTTGGCTGTGTATCGCTAAACAAGGAAATCACGGAGGGGGGGGGGGGGGGGGGGGAGTGCAGCGAGCGTTTAGTGAGAAAAGTGAATATTGCTGAATACACATACTTTATAGAGATGCTGTATGCGAAACGAATTACATCACCTCCACACACATCTGTCTGCTGTCTGTCTGTCTGTCTATTTTAGAACCTCAACAATGGAATTATGATCAGTGGAAATGGCCATGACATGTGACCTTTAACATTATAACATGTTAGTTTAAAATCAAACTAATCTTACTAATTTTGCCTTTAACAAAATACTTTTGTATTTGTTTCACAGTTGTAGGTGTGCTTAATAATATTACAATGCTGGAGTAATCACAAAATGTATACATTTTATAAACTGTATATGATAAATATACATAAAACTTTAAAGACATGACTAATATGTTGTCAGCTTCTGCCAGTACAATAAACAAACTGGCCGACCAAAACCAACCTTCACAAAGTAGAGGGTTTGTGGCTCCTTCTTCAGGGCTGGAGCTAGAGAGCGTAACACCCTGTGGATGTCTGTCATCCCCATCACTGTGGAGCCCAGCAGGGACGGAGAGGCGCGCACACAGGCCCGCAGCATGTCCAGCAGGTCTCGGACACGCCCTCTGTAGAGCTGCAGGGGAAAGAGAAATGCCCTAAATGCAAATGATCCCAACTTGTAATAAAACACAGCGTATGGATTTTTAATAGAGAACTTTAAATGTCATTATCAAGATGTACCCTTGTTTTGGCATCTGCTCCAATGACTCGTGTGATAGGCCTCATGCTATCAGTTTTTGGAATGAAGCGAAGGCGAGATGTGACGGTGGCTTTGGGGAGAGATGCCACCTGAGCCCGAGTCATCTCCTCCATCTGACCTGTGGAGAGGTGAACCCTAAATCATAAAAATGGTTGTGAGCTTGAGTGTCCAGTGATTACATGAGTAAAAACCTTTGCAGGTGTGTGTGTGTGTACCTGAAGGCTAAGTCCTGTAGTTTTGCCCAAACTTCTTGTCTGTAGAACCTGAGGGCGTTCTTCTGGCCCGCGCTTTCCGTGACATAGAAGCAAGCTCGAACGAGGCCCACAACATAGCCGTCCAGAAGCCAAGCCAGGAACTGACCCAGGATCTGTGTCCGATATGAGAGCTCACTGGGAGGGAACCTGCCTGCGGATAAGAGTGATGTAGTTAAAACGGCCAAAATGTAAAGCAGAAAAATGTAAACCTACGATAAGCTTACCTGTTTTACTGATCTTCAACCAATCAAAGTCATTCACCTTCATCTTCCACATCAGTTCAGAGAGTGAGAGCTTCTCAAACTTGCCACTGCGCAAGAAGCCCCTCACCCTGATGAAGAAACGTAGTCGGTTGTGGTCGGAGCCCCACAGCTCCTGAGGGATCACAGTGGAGAGGCATTCCCTGACAAACAGGAAGACCCGGTGAGGTGCACAGTGTTGAGGCAAGAGGGAGCTTAACTCCCCTTGTCCTGCTTCTCTCTCCTCCAGCACTGGACACACCCTCTGCAGTATTCTGCTGTAAGGACATCTCCTGTGTTGACGCAACAGCTGACTGAACAGGGGGACCATGTTAGAGAAGCGCCGAGGCGGGAGTTTCTTTGGCTTCCTCTCTATCCCGTTTAAGTACGGCAGTCCCTCAAAGAAGATAGTTCGTACCAAATCTTGCCCTTGCAGCCTTCTGCATTCATTAGCACTCTTTTTCTTCCTGTTGAGAATGAAGCCACGCATACCCCTTCCGCCGTACAGAAATCCCAGTGTGCGGATAAAACATTGCGAGGGAGGCAGAGAGGGAAAAATCCCCGTTCTCCAACTGGGTCCTCCCTCCATGGGCATTGTGCTTGTCTGCAATTCAACAGTCTGTTTGGAACCTGTAGGGCCATTTCCCAAAGGGTTTACTGATAGTGTTGGTACCACAGATACGGGCTGCTCTTCCTCCACCGGTTCAATACAAACCTGTTGAATTTCCTTTGTGGGCTCTTGCTTTGCTACTCGTATCCTCTTTCCTGAACGTGTCAGAGACTCTTCCTCCTCCTTCTGATCAGTTTCTCGCTTTCTTTTCCCCTCCATCACACGTTCATTCCTTTGGTTCCTCGTTTTGCTGAGAGTAGGCTTTTCAACAGCCCGTCTCTTTTTGTAAGTCACTGCCCTTTGATTTCTTCCAGACTGAGCACCGCTATTCTTGTGAGACCCAGGCTTGACAAGAAACCGGTTGGTAGAAATAGACATGGACACCCTGTCATAGATTGGAGTGCCGCACAACTGGAATACACATGATGGAGGGACTTCCACAAACACAGAGCAGCTCTCCAGCAGGTACCGTGTGAGGTCTGTGCCAAGGCGTAGTGTGACTCTCTTCCACATGTCACTTCCATGAATATAGGCAGCACTTTGAGTTAGATCTCCTTGGAATTTAAAGGGATCTGCATCTCGCTTCTCCTGAGCCAGCGCCTGAAAATTGTAGCCATTTGACAATATGTTCTTTTTTCTTTTTCTTTTCAGACTGTTAAGAACGACAGCCAGCAGTTCAGGTAGAGTGCAGATCTGTGGGAAGCATAAATAACATAACAGGGTTCATCAGAAGTGTTTCTCATTCAGTTATAGCAATAAATGTTCCTTCCCTTCTAAATAAAAAAAACATATCAAATCTAGTCTCTTGTACACCTGACGGCTTATTGGTCAGAGCATCTTTAAAATAGGGAATAATAACTCAATGTATGTATCTTTATCTAAATTTGGCATGCAACACAAGTGAGATAATCGACCAAACAGCTACTGAACCATACATTTCTCCTCATAATCCCTATTTATGTTATTATAAAAGTCCACAATAAAATGATATATTGTTGTACTTTTGGTAATATTTTGATTGCGGGACTTTAACTTGTAACAGAGTATTCCTACACTCTGGTACTCATACTTTTAAGTACCAGAAAAACTGCTACATGGTTTTACAGAAGTCACATTTTGTTAACTACATGTCAACTCTCAGAAACTGAAATGCCAGGTAGTTTGTAATTAAAGTTACCTGGTTGAAGCTTGGCACTTGCTGTAGTTCCTTGTCAAAGCAGACAATAACACCCCGGACGAAGGACTTGAAGCGGTTTGTGTCAGACTGTTCAATCAGCACTGCTTTCTTTCCTTCTCTGAACACGATGCTGTTCGCAAACTCCTCCAGTGTCTGTATGTGAGTATACAGAAACCGGAGAATGTCCAGCGTAGGAGACATATCAGTCGTAGACATACCGATGGTTGATGTGGTCGTTATTCAGGACATGGTGAAATATTGGTGAAATTCAACAGCGGTTAGCATTAGAACTTCGAGGTTGAGCTTTATTATGCCGTTGAAGGTCCCGCGTCACCCTCAGCCAATGAGAGTTCAGTTTACTGTAAGCGTCCAATCAGAAAGCCCCATACTACAAAGTCCAAACTCACAGTTGACCAATAGCCAACAAGAAAAGGCATGTTGTCTTTTTTTTCATGAAATGTGACGGTTCAGCGTGCGAGGGGAAAAAAAAAGGAGTAGGCGAAAATATTATGGAAATATTAATCTAAAATTGTTTAAAATGTCTTGTACTCTAAACATTTTGGTCTGACGTGGCAATGTTAGGCCTTCCAGTAAAAAAATAAGAGTCGTTTTATTTTTATTATACCTACTACAACTACAAGCCTAAATGTTCTTCCAAACTGGGGTCTCACAGAGATCAGGATTAAACTGCCTGCTTTAACCACTTAAATATAAAGCAGTTTGAGAAAGCAGGATTGGATTAAATCACCTATTTTTTTCCCTCGGAGGTGGGATGTGTCTCATTTAGGCTGGCAAGGGCACAAAAGTGGGAGTGGTCAGAAGTGTAAAATATTATTGGAACTCAACAAAATATTGTTGAAGACAGGTGCACAACTTTCAGAGCAATTGAAAGTACAATTGTTATAAATGTTGTCGTGTCCACAGAAAATACAAGGCTAAGCAGAAAGACATTGTGTGAGACACGCACAGACACAGAAATTAATTTGAATGTTAGTCAAAAATAAATGTAGAAATACATTAAAGATATGTGTGTTTTGTTTTGTTCTCAACTTATATATTATTATTTAGTGTTTATTTATTCCTGTATTTATTTTGTATGTATGCATTTATTTATTTGTTACTTATGTCATGTTCTGTCCTCCATACCTGTGTGCTCGTTGAGTGCATAAAGGTACAAATTCACTCAAAATCACATCACAGCAAGACCTATATTTGAGCGTTCATTGTTTTTAAAACACATTGGTGGTCCAGAGGTCTATGCATTGTTTTTCATGCAGGTGCTCGAGGTTCAACACCCAGGGGAGGGACATGTTCTGTCTTCTGCTATGCTGATGTTAAATATGGAGAAATTGTCCCCACCACTTTTCTAACAAAGTGACACCCATGAGAGATTGACATTCCTTCGTCGCACTGGGTGATGTGGTCAGCACGGCTCCCTTCTTCAGTGCTCTGATTCGCTGAATGACTGCCCTCCCGCTTGGAGAGAGCGCGCGAATGCACCCACGTCTCTCACAATCGGCTGTTAGCTAGCTGTTAGCTTAGCGTTGTTCACTCTGTGCTTTTAACAGCACCGGGGCTCTGCTGGCACACAACAAGGAGGACCTAAGGCAAGGATTTTTGGCTCAGCATCTCAATTCTCTAGGTTTCTGTGGATTATCAGCTGGTTAAGAAACCTGCAATGGCGGACAAGGAAGGTAAGTTGATATATTTTATAGTTTTTTGTTGTTATCTGACATGTTTTAGCTAGCATTAGCTACCTGGTTAGCTTTGGTAGCAGCTAGCTGCTGTAGCGCAGAAGCCATAAGCGGTAATAACAAAAGCCGGGTGCATTTGCTCTTTGTATGCTGTAACAATGTACGTTTTAGTTTGCAGTTGTTGTTTTCACACCACTTGGCGTTGTCTACCATACATCATATTTGCCATGGAGGCCGTAGCTCAACACAGTTAACGTAATAAAAAGTAACGTGTAGGTTAACCCTAGCATAATCATGATAGCATGGTAAGCTAAATGATGTGTTTGTGAAAACATGATCCCGTACTGCTACGTTCTGAACACTAGTCAGGCCATGTCTTTTTTTGTTTCGTCTGCAAAGGCAAGCGTATACAGCTGTTATTTAAGTTCCATAGTATAACCTTTCATTTGTGCCTTGACTTTCTGAGATACACTGGCGGTTTCCATGATGTTAAACCTTCATAAACAGTTAATGGAAGCTATACATTCATCTTTCAAGGGTTGTTTTATTAATGGTTGTTTTCCAACTATTTCAAAATGCACTAACATCTTTTTGTAATCACTCTCAGTAGGAGCATTTGATGATGCGGTTGAGGAGAGGGTGATAAATGAGGAGTACAAGATCTGGAAGAAAAACACCCCCTTTCTGTATGACCTGGTTATGACCCATGCTTTAGAGTGGCCAAGCCTAACTGCCCAGTGGCTGCCTGATGTTTCCAGGTACATGCTTTTACACACACATGCCAACATGCACTCAACTGTTGTGTATGACAATAATAATCAAGAATTGTTCTCTTCGTTCCAGGCCGGAGGGGAAGGACTACAGTGTGCACCGTCTGGTGTTGGGGACTCATACATCAGATGAGCAAAATCACCTAGTCATTGCAAGCGTTCAGCTACCCAATGATGACGCCCAGTTTGAAGCATCACATTATGACAGCGAAAAAGGAGGTGGGTTACCGGCTAAGTAAGTGTCAATGACAGGCAGTTACAGTAGTCCATTTGTTAAAAGTGACAAATGAATGTGTTTGTTGCATATAACATAGTTTTCTTTGGTTCACGGGACCACTGGAGAAACCATTCAAGTGTTCTTGGGTGAATTGCAGCTTCTTTTTTGTTTAAAACACTTTTTCTTTGTTTCCCCTCAGAGTTTGGAGGCTTTGGTTCAGTGAGTGGCAAGATCGAGATAGAAATCAAGATCAACCATGAAGGAGAGGTTAACCGTGCCCGCTATATGCCCCAGAACCCATGCATCATCGCCACCAAGACCCCCACCTCTGAAGTGCTGGTGTTTGACTACACCAAACACCCTTCCAAACCAGGTATGTAGCTCACACACAGCACATAACACTGCTAAAGGTGATATTTTGTTTTGAAAGTAAAGTGACTTATGGAAAAGTGTTTTAATTATAATGCCTCTTTAAACTATCTGCATTTATTCATGCTGTGAAAGACACAAACTATTTATAAATGCAATTGTCAGCAGATGCTTCTGGAGAGTGTCACCCTGATCTTCGCCTCAGAGGCCATCAGAAAGAAGGCTATGGTCTTTCCTGGAATCCAAATCTGTCCGGCTCTCTCCTTAGTGCTTCAGATGACCATGTAAGAGAAAATTCATTGCATCAAGAAGCTTCCCATAACTTAGTCGTTTTATTAGGTCACCAAATGTGTTTTTATCTGTTTGTGTTTTAGACAATCTGTCTGTGGGACATAAGTGCTGTGCCGAAGGAGGGGAAGATCGTAGAGGCAAAGACCATCTTCACTGGTCACACTGCTGTGGTGGAGGACGTGTCATGGCACTTGCTGCACGAGTCACTCTTCGGATCTGTAGCCGATGATCAAAAACTCATGATGTAAGAAGTCAAATCTGACAGGAGGAAAAGTCACCAGAAAAAATATTTGATGTTGCGTCTCCACAGTTGTTGAATTTGTCTTGTTTCACCTCAGTTGGGACACTCGTTCAAACAACACCTCCAAACCCAGCCATGCCGTCGACGCCCACACAGCAGAGGTCAACTGTTTGTCATTCAACCCTTACAGCGAGTTCATTCTGGCCTCCGGCTCTGCAGACAAGGTAATGTAATATTCCACTCCATCTTAATTGTTGCTATTTAGATTGATTTACAGCATGTGGTTTAACTCCATGAAATCACATGCATTTAACTCATTGACTTTGCAACTACAGTGTGTGAAATCTCTCTCTCTCTCTCTCTCTCTCTCTCTCTCTCGCTCACAGACTGTGGCTCTTTGGGACTTGAGAAACTTAAAACTGAAGTTGCATTCCTTTGAGTCGCACAAAGATGAGATCTTCCAGGTAGGATATTTATCAATCATGATGACACTTTATTGAAATGAGGATAACCGGATGAAGTGTGTGCAAAGTTAAATGAAAATGTAACAATTGTGCAATTATATGTTCTCGTTAAGAGAAAACATGCTTTCCTGTTTCATGGAAGACTTTCTGTTATATATGCCAAAAAGTTATCATAAATCCGAAGTATCAACACCTAATATGTGTGATTTGCTTTTCCAGGTTCAGTGGTCACCTCATAATGAGACCATCCTGGCATCCAGTGGAACAGACCGCCGTCTCAACGTCTGGGACCTCAGGTAAACAACTTACCATCTTTCCCCTGATGTCCACACAATTCAGCTGTGTTGCATTCAGGCTCCTTTGCGCTAACCAGAGATGATCTCCTTCATGTGGGGGTTTGTCATACTTGAAAAGACGTTGGAAATAAGTTCATCTCTTTTGTTTTGCATTGTTTTTTGTAGTAAAATCGGAGAGGAGCAGTCACCAGAAGATGCAGAGGATGGCCCACCCGAGCTGCTGGTGAGTCTCATTGAAGCCTGTTGAACTGTAGAAGTTGAGATGATCTGTTATTGTTCACATCAGCTTGTATAATGGTAATAAACATGGGGGCTTTTTCTTCTACCTTCTAGTTTATCCATGGAGGCCACACAGCCAAGATCTCTGACTTCTCCTGGAACCCCAACGAGCCCTGGGTCATCTGCTCGGTCTCTGAAGACAACATTATGCAAGTCTGGCAAATGGTAAGACAGCTGACACCACTTTTTATTGAATTGCACGTTTGTAGGGACAGGCAGATAACATGACTACTCCTTTGCTTTTTTTTGTAAGAACATGTGGAACATAATACATTCTGCAGCCACATGTTTTGGTCACAAACAGCAGGCAACTCTGCTCTCCGGTTTCCATCTCTCATACCAAAACTAAAACGTGAATCAGAGCAGGCTTCAAAGAATTTTCAGGGAAATGTGGCGTGACACGAAGTTCCTGACATTTTCACTACTAGCTGCAAAGAGAAAATCTCAGTCAAGATCGATTCTTGATTTATCATTTGGAATGATTCAGTCAGGGAAAAGTGAGGAAGCCGAAGAGAGGAATGGTATGTTTACTAACCTAATTGTCTTGCCCTTCTTTCACTTCTGTCTTTTCCGTAACACTGAACTGTGATAATAGTCAGAAAAGCTAAAGCTGCGCAGTATTCCTTAGGCCTGTGCTATTAATCGTATT